CACCCGGCAGGATTCTCACCTGGGGACCACAGATGTCCTCGGCAGAGGAGCTGGGGGCATCCGAACTTGGGAGCTCGGAGTCCAAGTCAAAGCAGGGCCTGAAACAGAGGCCAGGCTAGGGACAGCTGCCGGGCCTGGGCTTCCCTGAATTCCTGGCAACCTGAAGGAGAGGCCAGCCTGGCCACAGCAGCCCAGCAGTGCCCAGCCCTCATTTTCAGGGGTCACCTCCTTGGTAGACACCATGAGGGGGGCAACTAGGACCAAAAGCAGAACTGAAGCTGTGCCTGTCCCTGTAATATCCCAGCAGATGTGTGTTGGGGGGAGGAAGAGAGAAGAAGACAAGGCCAGGAGAGAGAGGGAGAAGCTGAGAGCCTCAGGGCAGAGGGATCCAGAGGCTCAGAGGGCTCACCTGGGTCGGGCTCACACTGCAGGTAGATGTTCTCGTCAGGGTTCTTTGCAGGGCCTGGCACCTAAGCATGTAGAGGTGTGTGGGACCCGGACCTGACCAACCCTGGGTTCCTTCAGGACTAGGGGCCTCTACCTGCTGCCACAGGGGCAGCCCGGGGAGAGAATCTTGATTGTAAGGGCTGCTCTGGACACCTCACTCCCTCCTCAGCAAGGGGCCTTCTTTTTGGGAGAAGCTGGAATGATTAAAAGTGCTCCTCTGAGCAGGGCTGAGGAGAGAGGATTACCACAAGTTTGAACCAGCCTGGGCTACACAGTAGGCTAAAGTCTAGTTTGCACTACATAGTAAGACTGTGTCTCAAAAAGAGGCGGGGGGCTGTGGAGAAAGCTCAGTAGAATAAGCGCTTGCCTGGCAAGCTTAAGGGCCTGAGTTCAATCCCCGGTCCTGCAAAAACAAAAAAAAACTGACCAGATGTGGTAGCACTCGCCAGTAATTCTAGCAGTGGGAAGCTGAGGCAGGAAGATAGCCACAAGTTTGAGGCCAGCATAGGCTACATAACTCAAGGCCAGTCTAGACTACATAGTGAGACCTTGTCTCAAAACAAAACACAACATGAAAAAAAAAACCTATATTAAGTTCAGTTGATCCTTGCTAAGGAAGGGACAATCCAGGTCACCTTCTCCTTGAGAGGTGCCACAGGCTGCTGCTCTCAGAGGTTGTGGATGTCAAGGAGGACCCAGGGACAGTGCTCACTGGCTTATGCCTGCTGAGGGCCTGTGGCAAGGGGCTCTGCTCTGGGCCTGTCCACTTGGCTTCAGGGATTTTCTGGCTGTCTCAGGATGTCTCGCCTCAGTTTTCTAGGCAGAACCACAGAGTGAGACAGGGATGGGGGTGACTCACCACTCCAGAGGGTGCACGCCACTCTGCAAGAAAAGAGGGAGTCGAGGTCTTGAGCAGCGAGCGGCGCCAGGGGTAGAGTCCCTGGGATGTCTCTGCTGGGGGGGAACCCCGAACCACAGCCCAGGAGGGGTCAACCTCATCGCCCAGCATTTTTCCTCACAAGCTCATGGGGACCTTCAGGCCTGACCTCTGAACCCTCCAAACCATTTCCCAGGCTTGGTTCCCTCTGACTTTGAGCTGGCTCCAATATCAAAGCCACCGTCAAGGTCACAAAGGTCTACCAGCTCTGGGCACAGTAAAACAGAATGTGCCTCAGGTGACCTGTTTGACCCACGGCAGGGAGAGGCCCTGTTCCCTGAGGTCCCTCCTTGTCATGATAGCTAGGGTCCTAGGGTCTCACAGGCGCAAGTCTCTGGATAATGACATGAATGAACTAGGTGTGGTGGTGCACATCCGTGATCCAAGCACTTAGGAGGCTGAGGCAGGATGATCACTTCTGAGTTCAAGTCTAGTCTGGGCCACATAGTGAGACCCTGTCTTAAGGCAAAAAATGCATGATGGCTCAAGGGTGCCCCCTTAGATGGGAGTGGACTCGGATGTCTCCGTAGGGAGGCACAGCAGGCTGCCTTTCAGGCCTCTTTATATTGAGCTCACTGGGGGTGCAGAATAGGGCGTAGGGTGGCTACTGTGTGTCATCTCAGGCATAGCAGTTCCTGTCTCTGGGCAGAGCAGGAGTCCCTTGAGCAAGCCCAGCTCTACACCCGTGAGCTGAGGATTCCCCTCCATCCTGGAGCCCTGGAGTGAGAGGACATCCCACCTTACCTGGCCTCCCAGGGATGGAGCCCTGCTTTGGGACAACACGCGGGTGCATTGGTACCTTCAGCTGTGGACATAATGGGGCAGGTGAGGGTGGTGGCGGGATGGGGTTCCGCTGCAGCTGCGGCTTGAAAAACCAGGCAGACCATAACGTGAGCAAACCCACAAAGGGAGGACATCTCTCCATCTCTACTCAGTAGCTCTCTCTTTGTTGTCTCTTCCCCATCTTTCTTTTTATAGTAGGACAATACAGAACGGAAGTGGGAGATTTCACAGTCCACAATAACAGTGGGAATGGGAGCTGCCCGGAGTGGTGGCTGTAGTCACAAGGGACTTCTTTACTCTCAGCAGGGAGGCTCCTCAGGTCCCCCTGTCCCCCCAGAGGGTGGAAGGCGGCTGAGCCTGACCTCTGTCCCCATCTCAGGTGACAAAAGCAGAAGCCCTATCCTGTGTGTGTGAAACCCTAGGGAAAGGGTGAAAGGACCTGCTGGGTGGGTCAAAGTGGTGACTGACACTGTGCGTCACAGGGCTGTGACTTTGGACACATTCAGCATTGAGTGTTCAGGGGCGTCTTGAATGCAAATATGGGGCATCTTGCAAATGAGCTCTCTGAGGTGTACTCACTGGGAAATGGTGGCCCGGAGTGGGGCGGGTGGGGAAGGTAGAACTTGTGAGAATGCCTCTCCCCTTGGTGGGCTGAGGCCCAGGAGATGGTGGGCCCAGGGGGCTCGAGTGATCTGGAAAAGACCCCATGTGCTGCGGGTTAGGGGGTTTCCTCGGGCAGGCTCATTTTCCTCCCACCCCCACCTATCCTCCATCTCCTCTCCCTCCTGCACTCCCCTCTGCTCACTGGCTTCCTGACAGCCTGGTTTCCTTGGCAACTGGAGTCTGCCAGCTTTTCCTGCCCCCACCTGGAGGAGCCCAGGAACTGTGGGGGTGGGATGCCAGCAACATCCAGGCTTTCCAGGGACCCCCACCTGACCGAAGATATGCTGGGAGCTTAGAGGAGGAACACTAGGCCCCCAGAGACCCTGCCAGTCCTCCTACTTTCTGCTGTTGCCTTGGTTACCCCCAATCCCTTCCTCCATCATTCTCTGCCTCTGTCCAGGAGGGAGGCCCCAGTAACTGCCAGCTGAGACCTCCCTGTCCTTCCCTGGGCTGGCAGTGCATGCTGAGGGAGAGGCAAGGCCTGGACTGTCTTCCCTTGGGTATCCTCTGGCTTGCCCAAGCCCCTCACCTTCGTATCCCCAACCTCACCCCCACTTTCCAGGCCTCACCCAGGTACAAGGAGTCCTCCTCTGTGCCAGGAAGATACGCAGGGGCCAGGCTGCGGGGCAGAGCCTCACAGGGGGGGAGCTCGTACTTATCCTCTTCTGCATCCTCCTGCTGGGCCTTCAGGAAGGGATGCTAGGCCCAGGAGAACAGAGGGTAGATATGTCCAGGACATTGGTGGCTGCTGCCACCCTCCACCCCTACCCCACTGAGACAACCTCAGTGGTTGGATTTACCTTGTAGTGCCAGGTCTCTGGGGCTGGCAAAGGAGATGGGCAGGGGGCATCTTCTCTCCAAGCTGTCGCATCTGCACAGAGAGACTGGCCTCACCTCTTCCCTGCCCACCCCCTCCAGCACAAAGCCCTGCTGGCTACCCAGCATAAAACCCCCTGCCCTTGACAGTGGGCTGCAGGCCTCCCAACTCCAGGGATTCATTCACCACAGTGTCTCTAATACTGCAGTGGGTAGATAGGGAAACAAGGTGCCTCCCACCTGTGCCAGGCCCCTGCCCCGACCCCTGTCCCTGCCCTCGATGTTGACTGGGACAGGAGCCAAGCAGTGCTGAACCCTGGTGGAGTCCAGAGCCCCCCAGGGGAGACCCTACTCGTGGGGGAACCCGCTCTGCCGGGCCCCTCTGACCTACTGTGTCACTTACCCTTGCACCTGGGGGGTGGGACAGGGGGCCCCAACCTGCAAGCAGACTCTGGTCAACTCTGCTCAGGGGGCCCTTGAGTTTGTGTCAGCTTGAGACTTTATCTAGAACATTCCCATCCATCACAGTGTGAATGTCCCCAGGAGCTGTGTGACTGGGGCAGCTGGGAGAGGAGGCCAGGGCAGAACTAGTAGCCTTTGGGTGCACAGCTGAGTGAGTTGGTGCTCTGGGGATTGGGGAGCTGGGTGCTGGGTGCTGACAGAGTGAGGAGCTGGGGTGCAAGCCAGCACCTCACCTAGGACAGCTGAGCCTGCACAGGAGAGGCGGGGGTGAGGCGGAGACAAGTGGGCCCTGGAGTGAGAGAGGAGCCTGGGTACTCACCGGGGCTTGTTTCTGCTGATCTTGTCCTGGAAAGAGCCAGGGAGGGGAGGAGGAGAAGGGGTGGTCAGTCCCTCGGTGCGGCCTGTCCCTGCCCAGGGCCCTGGCCTCCCAGGACCCTCTAGGGTTCGACACTCGGGCAAGCTCTGGGTCCAGCTCTCACCATGATGCATGAGAAGAGCTCCTTCTCCCTGGGAGCCCAGGATGTGCCACAAAGGGCCTAGGGATAGTGACCCTATTGTTCCCATCATTTGCATCTTCTAAGCACCAGGAAGGTGGCCTGAAAGGACTTCACCCAGGCCACTCCCAGCCCCCTCCTCCCTCCCTTCCCTGCGCTGAGCTGGACCAGGGCTGGCAGGCTGCCAGCGGCTCTCTGCTCAGTGCCCCCTTCCCCTGGCACGCTGGAATCAGTGAGAAATGGACGGTGCCCCTGCGCCACTGGAAACCTTCCCTTTCGCTTTGCAGGGATCAGTGATGCAACACATGAGGCGAGAAGCTCAGAAACAGGCTCTCCTGCAGCTCCATTTTCCATGGCTGTTTTTTTTCACTCAGCAGGGTCTGTCAAGCATCCATTATCCCCTGGGCGGTGGTCCGGGGGACGGAGACACTGCAGAAAAGCAGGCCTCACACGTGGCTTTCCTCCCCGGCTTCTCCAAATAACCCCGTGACGTAAGCATTAGCTTCATATCTGCTTTTCAAATGGAGCCGCAGAGTGTCTTAGCTCAGATTGCTGTGTAACAGGATGGCGCAGATGGGTCGGAGTAAACAATAAAAATTTTACTCTCTCATAGCTCCAGAGAAATCTAAGCTCCAGGTGCCATCGGGGCTGGTTTCTGGCGTGGCCTCCTTTCTGGGCTTAGAGGTGCCAGTTGGCTTTCTGTCCTCACATGGCCTCTTATCTGCGCACAGAGAGATGAGACAGACAGCGAGCCGGCATGCGCTCTGCAGTCCCTCCCTCTTACGAAGACTTCGGCGCTCTAGGGCCCCACTCCCACAGCCCTGCTTTACCTCAGTTGCCTCCCTAGAGGCACCGTCTCCAATTACAATCCCACTGGGGATTAGGGTGTCCACGTAAGAGGTGGGGGGAGGCACAATTCTGTCTGTACTGGTCAGGCTCTGAGAAGCTGAAGAACCTTCTCAAGGTCACACAATTAGCAAAGTTTTGCAGGTGAGACTCAACCAACCATGTCTGTCGGATCCAGAACCTGCGCTTGGGTCTGCACCTTTCTTGTGTTCCAAGCAGTTCCAATCATTGGCACCGGAGGGCTTGTGATCACGGAGATCAACTCTTTTAGAATCCTGTAGCTTTCCTGAATTTAATATTTTCGTGATATGCTGGCTGTTGGCACACAGGGCAAATGAAACAGCAGGTTGGAAATGGCTGCAGCCTTAGCGAGAAAGACCAGAGCTGGACCTAGTGTACACCTGTGTGTGCACCAGCACTCAGGAAGCCAAGGCAGGAGGCAGGCCTGGGCTGCACAGTGAGGCCAAGGCCTGTTTGAACTACAAGAAATAAGAAAGAGAAAGAAAAAGAAAGAAGAAAGAAAGAAAGAAAGAAAGAAAGAAAGAAAGAAAGAAAGAAAGAAAGAGAAAGAAAGAAAGAAAGAAAGAAAGAAAGAAAGAAAGAAAGAAAGAAAGAAAGAACCAAGGCAGTCAGCCATGCAACCTGCAGGCAAATGGACACTTAAGCTATAAAGAGAGCTGCGGAAGTAGCTCAGGGTTGCGGGCTTGCTTAGCGTGCCTGGGGCCTGGGGTTCCATCCCCAGTAACGTGCTTAAGCACCCACATACAGAGCCATGAAGGGTCACTGGGTGGCAGCCTAACCACAGGCCCAGCTGGTGGGGCCGGCGGCGGGGAACAAAACGAGAGAATCTACACCCACAGCTCAGCACCCCAGTAGGTTCCTTGTCCTCTGTCCCCAGCTGACCTTTGGCCCCACAGTAAGGGCCAATTTCCCTGCCCTCCAAGAGATACTCCCTCCGAGGGTCAGAGTCCTTTGCTCATGGTGAGCACAGCACTCCTGGGCGCCACCCTGCCACCAACCCCAAACTGAGAGGTCAGGGCTCAGCCACCCTCGCCCTCTGCCCTGACTTTGCATGGGCAAATGCTGAGGCTGGGAAGAAACAGAGCCCAGGCCACTGGGTGTAGCTGGCCTGCATGGACCTGGCAGGAGGGAAGGGAGGAAGAAGAGGCCACCTCCGTGGCCTTGTCAGCCAGCCTGGCATAGACAGGCTTGGACGTGTTCTTTCTGCATCTTTGGCACAGGGTGTTTTGTGTGCGCCACAGTCATTCCCGCGGGACCAAGTTCCTAGAAGCAGGGTTGCTAGAAGCTCTCATTTTGAACCTTTCATGCCACTCTGCCTGGCAGTGTCTGGGTACCCTTTTGTGGTTCTTCTAGGGCACAATGTGAGTCTCAAACTTTTCCAGAGCTCAGCTGAGCCCCAGCGAGAACAGGTTATAAGTCTAAATTCACCCAAAGAGCCATCTGGATCAGCATTAGCAGCCTGAGATTTCCAGGCTGGCCCCGAGATGGCAAAGAACTGGATCCCCCCAGGGAAGGGACTTGGAGGTCTAATAGATCTCACACACCCTAGACCCATCCCATAAGTTGAGAAAGGCCACGTCATATGAACACCCTGAGGAGATGAGGCTTTCCCAGGACACTTAGAATCACATGCTTGTTGGGGACACAGAGGTCGCTGGCAGAGGAAGAATGTGACACAGGCCCTGCCCTCCAGCGGTGCTGTGGGTGGTGGATGGGGCAAGCCCAAGGAAATGTCCAGTCCCTCTGGCTTCTGGATGTGTCATTTTGCATGAACAGGGACATTAAAGAGGCATTTGTCACTAGGGTATAAAGGAGCTCCTAAGGGTTGAATGAGTCAACCTCACTCTATTCTAGGGGCTTGGTGGGATCAGTGGTGTTGGAAAATGTTAGACTCCCTTGGCCCTGACCTTTGGGACATTGTTTCTGATCTTATTTTTCTTTTTCTTTTTTTCTGTTTGACAGAATCTTGCTATGTAGTATAGGCTGACCTTGAACTTACTATGTACCCCCAGGATCTCCTCGATCTCATGCTGATCCTCCTGCCTCAGCCTCTCAAGTGTTGGGATTACAGGTGTGCACCAACATGCCCAGCTTTACAAATGTATTTATTGAGCACAACAAATTCCACATACCAGCAACCTGAACCTACTTGCTTCAAAACACGATCTATACTAATAGCTGTATATGTCAGTCCTAGGGGCTGGGGATTTGGCCAGCGGTAGAATGCTTGTTTAGCAAGCTGGAAGTCCTGGGTTTGGTCCTTGGCACCAAAACCAAAAAATAAACCTCCCCTTAAAAACAATTCAACTAAAAAAAATACAGTGAAATAAAAAAAAGACCAGGCTGTGGCGATTAGACGGCCCCGGGGAGTCACCTCAGCCGCCCGCCTCCCCCAACTCAACGTCTTCGCCGCCGGCTCCGCGCCGCCGCCATGGCCGACGTGGAAGACGGCGAAGAGCCCTGCGCCTTGTCCTCTCACTCGGGGAGCGCAGGCTCCAAGTCGGGAGGCGACAAAATGTTCTCGCTGAAGAAGTGGAACGCGGTGGCCATGTGGAGCTGGGACGTGGAGTGCGATACGTGCGCCATCTGCAGGGTCCAGGTGATGGATGCCTGTCTTAGATGTCAAGCTGAAAACAAACAAGAAGATTGTGTTGTGGTCTGGGGAGAATGCAATCATTCCTTCCACAACTGCTGCATGTCCCTGTGGGTGAAGCAGAACAATCGCTGCCCTCTCTGCCAGCAGGACTGGGTGGTCCAGAGAATCGGCAAATGAGAGTGGTGGGTGGGAGCTTTCTCAGCGGTGCTGTTCCCAGCCCTGGTGAATGTTCCTGTCAAGTGGCCAACAAAGGCACAGATGCTGCAGGCAAGAAGGCAGTGGATCTTGGTCCTTTGGGACATATGACATATCAGAGACACGAGTTAACATTTTGTACTTAATTTTCAGGAATTCTGTACAATTAAGATAATTTATTAAAAATAAACTTTCCTACCTCTGTGGTGTGTGTCACATACACTGCTTAGAAATGCTATAGAAAGGATAAAAGTCCAAGTCAAATGACCCTTATAATTGTCACAATACAAAGGGCTGTAGAACAAGTTCCATTTATAGGAGAATGTTTTGCATGCTTGTGGTTAATCAGATAAAAAGAGACCATGTTATAATAACAAATAAAGTGCAG